GAAATAAAAGCGTCAACGAAAGAACAAGCAACAGACGAGGTGGCGCATTGTCGCAAGTGGCTGCCCACACCTAGCAGATGGACCACGAGTTTAACTTCGCGGCCGCGCGGATAATTGCCCACGCCGGCAACAGGACAGGGCGAGAACGAATTGAAGCCTGGGCTTCGGATGACAACTCAGACAACCGATGTGTGGGCTGGCACCCGCATACATCGCCCTCTGCAGGCATATCCGCACGGCTGACACTGGTGATTAGTGAGTTCCCTCACCACCATTTAACGGTTAATTGGCTCCCGCCCCTATGACTGCTGCTCGTTTTTCGTTGACGCTTTCATCTCTGACGATGGACTACCGCAAGAGTCCGAAAACTCAGAACTTATTCCGGTGATCGAAAGGCCTTCGTCTTTTAGGGAGAGGGGTCAACACCCACTTTTTAAAAAAATAACTCAATTCACTGAGGCCAAGGTATCAGTTAATGAAATACTCAAAAAACTAGAGGTTTTCACGAAATCCACATCGATCCACATCTTAACTTCTGGATTTCCGTTCCTCTACACGTGAGGTGTTAGCATATTACGAATGGTATTACAGACTGCTGATATGCCCGACGTACGGCAGGACACATGTCCGAGGCTTCGGCGCACAGTATGGGAAGACTTCATGGCCCTTTATTCATAGTGGAGTGGAGGGGCAATTTCATCAAGAATATCATCAGCGAAGTGCTTGACCGTTGTAAAGTTTCGTTGTATTAGAATATCAGATAAAAAGCATAAGACACACTGGCAGCTGAGGAGAGCATTCGGAGGATACGTTTAAAAATCAACAAGCCTTTTTTGGAGCACTGTTGAAAAAATAAGCGGAGAGCAGTAGTGAATGAGGGGGAGAATGCAGGCATCTACACATCGCCAGATTAGGGCTTGAGATGTGTGATATGAACGTAACCGACGAATATAATGTATAAATGTATGAATTTTAATGAAGAGAGTTTCAAATAGGAAGAGTAAGTGAAAGACTTGATGTCTGAAAAACACCAAGGTTCCGGAAAGAGGATACTTCACTGGGCAGAATTTTTAAAAATTCAGGACTAGGAGAAGATCGCGATCAGAAAACGCTCTGGACTGACTTCTGGTTATTAAGTAGAAGACCATTGGCTAGCAATCATGCTGAGACGTGGTCCAGGCCATCTTTCAGTACCCGGAGATGTGTAGAACATGATAAAGTGGAACCGAAAAGACAATGGAGAAGCCATTTCTGACTTACTAACCCTCATCAACCAGTCATACCTGTCCAAGGCTGGTTGTGTCGAAAACATAAGGTTCCCCAAATTAGACGTCAGGTATGGCAGGGTTGGTAGGGAGGGCTTTTACTGCGCTTTACAACAGGCGCCGCAAAACGATCTTAAATGCTACATCCTCAGGCCAGTTGTGTGAGCGTGTCC